CCCAGACAAGGCAGCTCCTGTAGGTTCCAACCGGCACTAAAGGCCTGAACTGCCAGCTGTCCTTGACAGCCAGTGTACAGCACTGCAGCCAGCCATAGACAGATAGACAGATGGAAATTTGCTAGTTCAGCAAGAATCGGACAAGTTTCATTCCGTCTATGGGCAGGCTGATTGTAGTGAAATCGATCTACCGATCAACTTCAGCGCAACCAGCCTGTCAGGTTTTTTTCCCGAACGATTAATGCTACTGACTATAGCTAGCAACACTAATCATTGTGTTCTGCCAGCAGGGAAGGCTGCCCACCAGCAGAATACAATAGTATGTGGGGGGGGGGGGGGATTCCCCCAGATTCCCCCATCAACACTGATTGTTGATGGGAGTTAAGCAATTTTCTTTCCTTCCACCCATGCAAAATTGCATAACCTATGGGCTGCTTAAAGTGTTACTAAAGCGACAAAGAAAACGAGAAGCGCACCAACCTAGTGCATTACCTCAGTAACCAAAATTTATTAATTATAAAATGATACCCACAAAGTATCTCTGAGTAGCTCTGGTGAAGAAGGGATGCTCTTCGAAACGCGTCAGCTGTACTGAGTGTCTACCCCCATGCTGGGATTCGCACTGGCTCCTTATCTTTCAAGTCCCTCTGAGGACTTACATGCCTGATTTTATTCGCTGTTTGTGGGTATCATTTTATAATTAATAAATTTTGGTTACTGAGGTAATGGACTAGGTTGGTGTGCTTCTCCTTTCTTTGTCGCTTTGCAGTATTGGTCGGGCTTCCCCAGCCTTGTTTGGAGCTGCACAACTCTACATGCACTGGTGGTTGATTTTTCCAGATCTGGTTCCATCCATCCGCTACCCGCCTGGGTCCTAGAGCGCAGGAGAATTCGTTTCTGGTTTAAAGTATTACTAAACCCAAGACCCTGGATTCACTATATCCGGTCTCCCACAGTTCACAGAACATGGAAATGCAATTATTTTAGTAAATATAAACTGTTAAATACCTTTTCTCATTAGCAGTTCGAGCAGTCTTGTGACTTCTATCACTGTCCAGTAGAGCACATGTTAAAGCTTGTAGGAGGAGTTTTCATTCTGCTCTAGGAGGTTGTAGAACCCCTGAACCTCTATCTGGACAGTGCTGATTGGCCCTGTGCTGATCACATGCACTTTCCCAAGAAAAAAAAGCCTCTCTAGCAATACACACCAAACTGAGCATGTGCAGAGTGACTCCACACGATATGTCCTAGCATTTAAGAAGGGGAGGATCAGAGAAGACCGGATCAAACAGCCTTTTTACACAATGCAGAGGATTAACCCCTTAGGTTCCACAGTGAGTATAACAAGCATGCTTTACTGTATATACAGACTGATTGTACTGTTGTGGGTTTAGTAACACTTTCAGCCCGGAAGCTGATATGATAAGCTGCTTGGCTGAAAAATTGATACACAGTGCTTCCTTACTGTATTTGGACGTGATGGGACTGTAGGCACCTCTTCTTACTAGGGAGGATGGACAGAGCTGCAATGCATTGCTAAAGTGATCTACTGCTGGCTGATTGCAGACTGCAATAGATCACTTTTCAAAGTGATCTTCTGCTGCATAGCTTTATGGGGAGTCTGGATCAGGTCTCCATTAACCACATTCAGACCACCCAAGAAAGGAAAAAAGTGTAGAAAAAAAATGAAAACAAAAAGTCTAACAATAGAAAGGGAAAAAAAAAACATATAGTGTTTTGTTGAGTTTAATAAAGTTTACGTGCAGCAATCTTTCTTGAATTTATATATATATATATACAATCATTGTAAAATTTTACGAAATAAATTTATGTTTAAACTAATTATAAATTCTAAACATTTTTTACCTGGTAAAAAAATGTTTAGGAGGCATCAGTATTGCCCTCTCACCAACCTCCCCTTAATTTCTTAAACTTACCTGAGCCCTCATTCGATCCAGCGCTGTGCAGTCTACAGCTCTCCTCTCCCCTCACTTCCTGGTCTCGCAAGCTTTACTGAGGCAGTGGGAGCAGGGGCGGACTGACAACTCATGGGGCCCCCGGGCAATAGGGGATCATGGGGCCCCTGTGTCCTTGCCCAAACTCAAAAAAGTCTATGAAAAAGGTACCAGGGGCATCTCATGGGGCCCCCTACTGACCCCAGGCCCTCGGGCAGTTCCCGAGTTTCCAAATGGTCAGTCCGCCCCTGAGTGGGAGCCATTGCCAATCAAAGCCAATGACAGAGGAGCGGGGTTTGGGAGGGAGCCTGCAGGAGTGCCCCTATAGGAAGCGGCTCCTATGGGGGCACTCACTGGAGAAGAGGACCCAGGAGTCCCGATGGGGGACCCAAGGAGAGGTGGTTCGGGGCTGCTTTGTGCAATTCCATTGCATAGAGCAGGTAAGTATAAGCCTGGTTGTTTTTTTAATATTTGCATTTACAATCAATTAAAAAAATTATATTATACTAGCTATATTATTAAAAAAAAATTTTGAAATTGATTGTACAATGCAAATCTTTAATAAATAAAGGAATTAAAAAAATAATAATAATAATAATATAGGGGAATTCGGGTAAACCAAATCATTCCCTATGAGAAAATAATTTATGAAAATAGAGGCTGTCCCCATAAACATTACAGAACGGAACTCCTTGTGGACATGATGCCTTGTAACTTTGATCAGAAATGTGTATTCTGTTTTTGTACTTACTATTTGCAATAAACAGAGTTTAAAAAAAAAAAAAATTGCCTCCTTAGATTAATCCCAACAATGATATCAGATTGTCTGGATGACATGCGTATGTTCACTTTTACCATCCCGCTACATTACATAAAAATCACAGTTATGTAATGTTAGATGTTGCAGGCTTTGCTGGTTATAATTTGCGGTCAAAATCAATATTTCAGAAAAATTGATTTTTAAAATTTTTCACCATTTTATTTCTAAAAAAAACTACAAAATGAAAAAAATATAGATTATTATCAATTATTATTATTATACAGTATTTATATAGCGCCAATAGTTTGCTCAGCGCTGTACATTATAATGGGAGACAGTACATGAGACAGTACAGTAACAATACAATACATGAGGGGTTCGAGGGCCCTGCTCCTTGGAGCTTACAATCTAGGAGGGAGGGGATGGTGGTACAGGAGGAGATAGCTGTGGGGGGGATGGAGTGGTGGGAAGAGCGAAGGAGATCAGCAGTTATCTGAGGGCGGGGTAGGCTTCCCTGAAGAGATGGGTTTTCAGGGTGCGCCTAAAGGAGAGGAGGGTAGGTGACAGTCTGATGGATTGGGGTAATGAGTTCCAGAGGATGGGGGGGGAAGCCCTGAAGAAGTCCTGGAGGCGGGCATGGGAGGAGGAGACCAGGGAACTGGAGAGTAGGAGGTCTTGTGAGGAGCGGAGAGTGCGTGTTGGGTGGTAGATGGATATCAGGTCGGTGATGTAGTTTGGGGCAGTGTTATGAACAGTATTTTGTTATTTGAATATGATCTCTATAATAAAGATCACAATGATTAAGAATGATGTGTATAAATAAACATAAATACTAATATTCTTAAACTTTGATACCAAAAAATATTGTGCATGAAAAATGAACAATGACAATAAATCACTAAAAAATATTTAAATAAATATAAAAAATAAAATATAAAAAAAATAAAAATAAAAATAAATATAATGTCCCAAAAAGTGACTTTGTGCTGGAAAATCTTCAATCTAAAATAATTATAAATCGGTGACTGCTTGTGAATCCTCCCTCCAGTGAAGATGTGCGCTCACCTCATAAGAAGCCTGCAATTAGGCTATAAAAGCTTGCGGTTCACCTCCTTTGGAACCTACTAGTTTAGAACTCCTGCTTGAAGATAGGATGAATCTCCTCTCCAGAGGGTGCAACTCCTCTATACTTTCATCTCCATACGATTCTCCACATATAAAAAAGATCTCGACATGGTGCTTTATCTTTTATATAAGTATGCCTTTTATTTGCTTATGATATGGCACTCACACATATAAAGTGTGCGGATAGTGGTAGCACAAATGCAATCCCAAACCGCCGCTGATTGTCGGAGCTGTGTACTCGTGGTCCGGCAAACAAACTGACTCCCCTCCGAGTGACGTTGCAGTCCCACCCCTACGCGTTACGCCACTGGTCACGTGGCTTCATCAGGGGGATTTGATTGTCAATTTGAATTTGTCAGCGATTGGATCTGGGGCTGGAAAGACAGATTGGAGTCTAGAATGACACCTAGTTCTTTGGCTTGCGGGGTGGGGCTCATGGTGGCATTGTTGGTTGTGATAGAGAGGTCGGGCGTGGAGGGGTGTGTTGCGGGCTCGGGGGGGGGAAACTAGGGGCTCGGTTTTAGCAAAGTTTAGTTTGAGGAAGTGGAGTGACATCCAGTCTGATATGTCGTTAAAAATTAAATTAAAGCCATATTTGTCCTGAAAAAACTATAGTGTGTTAGGGTAGACTACAAAAAGGTAAAAAATGCTCTGGAACTCAGGCGGAGAAAAAGGCTCGGGGACGCAAATGGTTCAAAAAAACTTTTGGCTGGAATTGAGAATTAAAGAGAATATGTCATTTTGGCAAAATGACTGGTTTTATTAAAAGAACAACCCCCACCCACTGATACCTTTCCTACCCTCCCCTGCAGGTGTCCCTCTGCCTGCTAGATTCCCCAGCATCTGCCTGGATTCTGGAGAGTCCGTCAGGAAGCCTGACACTAGCTGTGTGCAGTGGCCAAGACTTGGGCAGAACAGGGAATTCTGGTGATGATATTTTGCCTTTGGCATTCAGGAATAACAAGCAAAGCCAGCATATGATTCAGCTTGCCAGCAAGTAAATTGATGTGTTGGATTTGAGTAGATGTGCCCTTTATATCCTACAATGCTGACATAAAGTGATCATCAAATATATCTCTGTACTTTTCCGTTAATTAAGGTCTAGTTGTGGAAGCGGTGATTGACCCTGACAGGACCTTCTATGTCCTCCGACACCTAACATGGCTACTGCTCGGGGGGGCGGACTCCGAGAATGACTCTGATGGTGAAATTTCTGAAGATCCAGAACGACAGGCGCTAGATTATGTGTCCAGGGTACTTGGCACTCACAGCCTGCAGGACAAAGTCCAGCAGCCTCCACACGCATTGTCTATAGGGGCTCAGGACAGCAACAAGCATGAAGGTCTAGATCTGAAGAAATCTCCAGTGACCGGAGACCATGGGGGAGATGTCATCATTGCTCTTACGTCTTCCCTTGGAGCTCATCCTTCACATATTGTCCTATCTCGATCCGCGGTTCATCCTCGATGTATTGCCTCTTGTGTGCCACACTCTGCGGGATGTTGTGGCGGATGAGGTGACATGGAAGTTGCGGGTTCAGAGAGGGATAAGTGCTAATTATCCAGTGGTAGAACGTGAGTAATGATACAGAGCAATAATTCCTGTTTTCCTAATACAACACATTGGTTCATCTTCACCTCTCCTCTCCTAATACACAGGCATTAGGACACAATGACCTCTCCCCTCTTCCTAATTAATACTCAGACATTAGGACACCCTGACAACCCCACAACCTCCCCCCCCCACAGTACAAAGACATCAGGACACAATGACCTCTCCAATCCACCTAATACACAGACATCCGGACACACTGACTGCTCCTTTCTTGGTACACAAACATCCACACACTGACTGACTGCTCCTCTCCTCCCAATACACAGACATCAACGCACACTGCTCCTCTCCTCCTAATACACAGACATCAACGCACACTGCTCCTCTGCTCCTAATACACAGACATCAGTGCACACTGCTCCTCTCCTAATACACAGACATCAGCGCACACTGCTCCTCTCCTCCTAATACACAGACATCAGCGCAGACTGACTGCTCCTCTCCTAATACACAGACATCAGCGCAGACTGACTGCTCCTCTCCTAATACACAGACATCCGCGCACGCTGACTGCTCCTCTCCTCCTAATACACAGGCATCCGCACACGCTGACTGCTCCTCTCCTCCTACAACACAGGCATCCGCACACGCTGACTGCTCCTCTCCTCCTACAACACAGGCATCCGCACACGCTGACTGCTCCTCTCCTCCTAATACACAGACATCAGCACACACTGACTGCTTCTCTCCTCCTAATACACAGGCATCCGCACACACTGACTGCTTCTCTCCTCCTAATACACAGACATCAGCACACACTGACTGCTTCTCTCCTCCTAATACACAGGCATCCGCACACACTGACTGCTTCTCTCCTCCTAATACACAGACATCAGCACACACTGACTGCTTCTCTCCTCCTAATACACAGGCATCCGCACACGCTGACTGCTTTCTCTCCTCCTAATACACAGGCATCCGCACACACTGACTGCTTTCTCTCCTCCTAATACACAGACATCTGCACACACTGACTGCTTCTCTCCTCCTAATACACAGACATCAGCACACACTGCTCCTCTCCTCCTAATACACAGATCAGCAGACACTGACCCCTCCTCTTTTAATACACAGACATCATGACACGCTGACCTCTCCTCTCCTCCTAATACAGAGATTAGAACACATTGACCTCTCCCTTTTTATGGTCTACAGACCTCAGGACATACTGACCCCTTGCCACCTCTCCTCTCATAGTACACAGATATCAGGACACCCAATCCTGTAATTCTGTATTTGTATTTATTTATGTGATCTTTCCTCAGAAGAACATTTTGATTGGCCAGCTGCTTGCATTGAACTAGAAGAGCAGGTGTCTAATTGGTCAGATGAAGGAAAGAAGACAGAGCGGTTCTCATTGTCTGATGGCCATTTTGCCCCCGTGGATGCCGTGCTGCTCTTGAAGGTGAGTTTGCTTGGCTAGCCCCCAGCCAGTTGTTTAGAACCTCTTCTGATAAAAAGCGTACCAAACAGATGGCTGCCTCCAATGACTTTGAATGTGTCCACCTTAAAGTAATTTTCTGAAGATTTTAGAAGTTTTTTTATAAATACAAGACCCCGGTTAAAATCTGACTTTATAAAGTAAAACTGAGGTCCTCATCTTGGCGAGCAGCCTCTCGCTATAATATGTCAATAACATTGACTTAATATGACACACTTCCTTCCAAAAGCAACCTCCTCTGGCAATGAGACATCTGTGATCTTCTTCATTGCTCCATCATCACCGCTAGCACCCATACCCAGTCTTCTTCCATGTCTTGATTGGTTGTCCCGTGATGATCCAACTTCCTTGAATTTGCATGGAGTAATTGATCCTGGCAACCAAGGCATGCTTGGTGTACAATTAGAAGAAAATTGCTGGCAGGAAAGGCAGAAGCTTTTTATAAGAGAAGAGATATGCATAGTCTTTACTGTGGTAAAAGACTGCTCACTAGTATTTAAAAAAAAAAAATTAAGTTCTGTTATAACCACCCCAATACCACCATATATTCAAATTAAGAGAGGTGGATGCTTATTTCTGGAGCACTGTTTCTAAACTGCGTTACAGAAAAAAGCAGGTGCAGGTGGCAAGTGCGCCTGTCGAATACCTGTGATGAAGCTGAGCATCACAAATCATAGGCTAATTGCAATCAGAGTGGCTTTGTGCCTTGTAATCGGTGTAATGGCCAGTAGCAACAATTACAATTGTAAATGTTTCTTCTGTTTTCATTACAGAGCTCTCCTCTGACAAGGAGTGGGGGGGGATGTGAATAATGAATGAACGGAGGTAATGTCAGGGTTCTAATGAATTGCATTATGGGATAGTTTTGTTAAAGTAGAATTCCAGGCTAAACCCAATTAATCTTAAAAATGCCTGTGTCAGTCAGTGGCAACTGCAGGGAAGAGGAGTTCTGGTAGATCACAAGTGAATAAAGCACCTGGACCGGATGGCATACACCCACGGGTCCTTAAAGAATTGAGCTCTGTCATTTCAAAGCCATTGTTTCTCATTTTTAGGGACTCTTTAATGACTGGCATAGTACCACTGGATTGGTGTAAGGCCAATGTGGTGCCAATATCTAAAAAGGAATCAAAATCTTTACCAAGTAATTATAGACCTGTTAGTTTAACTTCTATAGTTGGGAAGATATTGGAGAGTTTAATAAAAGACCACATAGATGAGTTCTTGCTGGAAAAAATATTTTAAATAACAGACAGAATGGATTCATGAAAGACAGAAGTTGTCAAACAAATCTGATTTCTTTTTATGAGGAGGTGAGCAAAACCTTGGACAGAGGAGTGGTGGTGGCCGTGGTATACTTGGACAAAGGTATACTTGGACAGAGGGGTGGTGGTGGACATGGTATATTTGGACAGAGGGGTGGTGGTGGACGTGGTATACTTGGACAAAGGTATACTTGGACAGAGGGGTGGTGGTGGACATGGTATATTTGGACAGAGGGGTGGACGTGGTATACTTGGACAAAGGTATACTTGGACAGAGGGGTGGTGGTGGACATGGTATACTTGGACAAAGGTATACTTGGACAGAGGGGTGGCGGTGGACTTGGACGTGGTATACTTGGACAGAGGGGTGGCGGTGGACGTGGTATACTTGGACAGAGGGGTGGGCAGTGGACGTGGTATACTTTGACAGAGGGGTGGCGGTGGACGTGATATACTTGGACAGAGGGGTGGTGGTAAACGTGGTATACTTGGACAGAGGGGTGGCGGTGGATGTGGTATACTTGGACAGAGGGGTGGAGGTGGACGTGGTATACTTGGATTTTGCAAAAGCATTTGACACAGTTCCCCACACATGGCTAATGTGTAAGGTAAAGTCTACGGGCTTGGAAAAATCTGTATGTAAATGGATAGAAAACTGACTAAAAGATGGTATTCAGAGAGTAGTGGTTAATGATTCATACTCTGAATGGTCTGGGGTGTCAGTGGTGTACCCCAGGGTTCAGTGTTGGGACCCTTACTATTGATTATATTTATAAATAATATCGGGTCTGAGATTATAAATCCCATTTCAGTCTTTGCAGATGACACCAAGCTGTGCCGGGGAATAACGTCCTTACAGGATGTCTCCAACTTACAAGCCGTCCTCTATGTTCTGTGTAATTGGGCAACTATGTGGCAAATGAGGTTTAATGTTGATAAATGTAAGGTTCTGCACTTGGGGGCTAAGAATATGCATGCATCACACATGGGGGGGGTACAACTGGGGGGGGTCAATGGTGGAGAAGGATCTGGGGGGGTCAATGGTGGAGAAGGATCTGGGGGTTCTGGTAGATCACAAGCTTAATAATGGCATGCAATGCCAAGCTGCGGTTTCTAAAGCGAGCAAAATCCTCTCTTGTATTAATAGAGGTATAGACTCCAGAGAGAGAGATATCATTTTCCCCGGTACAAATCATTAGTAAGACCTCATCTGGAATATGCAGTTCAGTTTTGGGCACCAATTCACAAAAAGAACATTGGGGAACTGGAAAAAGTACAGAGAAGGGCAACCAAACTGATAAGAGGCATGGAGGAGCTCAGCTATGAGGAAAGATTAGAGGAACTGAATTTATTCTCTCTTGAGAAGAGGAGATTAAGGGGGGGGGATATGATCTCCATGTATAATACATAAGGGGGGATATGATCTCCATGTATAAATACATCAGTGGTTCATATAGTGAACTCGGTGTAGAGTTATTCATCCTGAGGTCATCACAGAGGACAAGGGGGCACTCCTTACGTTTTGAGGAAAAGAGATTTACTCTCCAAATATGGAAAGGTTTCTTCACAGTAAGAGCTGTAAAAATGTGGAATAGACTCCCTCAAGAGTTGGTTCTGGCCAGCTCAGTGGATTGCTTTAAATAAAGTCCTGGATTCTTTACTAGTTACACAGAATATAACTGGATACTAACATTTATAGGTAAAGTTGATACAGGGAATATCCGATTGCCTCTCTGGGAATCGGGAAGGATTTTTTTCCCCTTCAGGAGCAAATTGGATCATGCTTTGCTGGGTTTTGTTTGCCTTCCTCTGGATCAAATGTAGGTATAGGATTATAACTTGTGTTTTTTCTTTTTGTTTGTGGTTGAACTGGATGTTAACTGTAGCTGTCTGCTGTCCAAAAATCGGTCATTTTGGGTATGTTCATACTGTCCTGGCATTTTTATTTGATATGTTTATAGCAAAAACTAATGGAGACTTTTTCAAAATGTTTGGTGTTTATTCCTTTTACAGTACATAAAACCTAGTATTTATTAAATACCACCAAAAGAAAGCTCTGTCTGTCTCAAAAAAAATAATATAAAGACACTCAATTCCCCCATCTATGCTACACACAGTGGATGGAGGAATCTGCATTGCCTGCTTTTGTAATCATGCCGCCGCAACGCCAAATGTTCTGTTTGAATACCTGTACAGTGACTATAGATGATAAGATGGAGTCACTGTTCGGCTGACAATTTTCCACCTGTCGTCTTGATTTTTCAGCTGTTTAATAGTTTGATCACCTAGCTTGATCAGTGACATCACATTCTAACATCATTTGCTTTCATTTCTGCAGAGAGGGTCACTGTGTGTGTCTGGATCCCGGGACAGAAATGTCATCCTTTGGGACCTGAAACAACTGGGTAAACAAAACGAAAAAGTAAAAAGCAAGGTGCTAGGAACTGCGAAGACAGGAACACACAAGGTAAAAATGCCTGCTATACTTTATTTTATACACCATAGGGAGCACCAAAAGCATAATAAATTCTGTCACAGCTATTAAACCGTTTTATAACAATTTGCTAAATAGATGGATCACAGAAATGTAAGCTTTCTGCACTGAATGTTCTAGGGATGGGCCTGGTCCCTTGCCACCTGTGACAATTGTGTCTGCTCAGGCTCCTGGGATAGCACCATGAAGATATGGGACATAGCAGCGGATGGGCAACAGGTTGGAGAGATTCGGTATGAAGGCTTTTTTTTTTTTTAACATGGAAGAAAATTAATCATACAGGGTTGATGGATGGCATTTCTTTGTGCTCTTACATTTTTTTCAAACGTAAGTGATCTACATGAAAAACACTATCAATCGACCCTGTACCTTTCTTTTTTTTTTTTATCATAACGCATAACCAATTACCTTGGGTCAATCGAAGCTGCCACTATTTGTTTCTTATTGGGACAGATGGTGACAGCTACATACAGTGTACATTGCTGTGTTCCAGCAGTGGTATGGGGACTTTCTGTTAGCTGCCAGAACAAAGTTTAGTAAGGCTGAGCACTGTTGAGCCATTCACAGGAAGCATTGTATTTTTATGAATGAATACAAGGCTTTCTCTGAATGGTTGAGGTGGAAAGGCAGGTGGGGATGGGCAGATGATGTCATGATCTCCACCTCAGCCATTCAGAGAAAGCCATTGAAAATATGCAAAATTTCCTGTGAATGCAGAACTCGGCCTGACTCGATTTCTGTTTTGTGAATGGGACAGGAAAATCCTTTACTGCTGCTGGAACACAGCACTCTGTACTGTATGTAGCTAATGCTACATACACTATAGTGCTCGTTCAGATGGCAGATTAGTGCTGACCTCCATGCAGAGATGCTAGCAGATGCATATGTATCAACCTTGGAGCTGCACGTAGGCAGCCTATAGACGTGGCCAGCAGCAGCATGAACAGAATTGCATATCCAAATTTGAGCCGGTTGCACGGATCTGAACACAGAGACCCTTGTTGATTTGGCCCAGCTTTTTAAAATGATAGTAAAGCTGGAGGCTATAAGGCTAGCTTCTCTGCATACTCTGTTTTTTTTGAATAGCTAAAACTAAGCCCCAAATCAAAAGTGTCTTACCACAGCAATGGTGGAGATTCTGAGATAAGAATATTGGCAAACACCAGAATTTAGTGAGCTGGGCAGCCAGCAAGATTAAAGTGAAACTGAGCTGGGATATAGATTTCTAAGATCGCAGGAGTGCTTTTGTGCAGAGACCATGTAGTGCCAGTAAGTACTTGTATTATATACGCTTACATATATACAGGCCATACATGGATCTTGACTTTTGTCCAAGTAGAGAGTAAAGGCTGGTACACACTGACCAAATATTAGCCGGTTCAACAGAAACTGGCCGACATTCGGCTCGTGTGTACAGCAGCCTGTCCGACAGAAGCCAGTCTAACTACTGTCTTTTTTATCGAACGGCTGGCATGTTGGCAAAGCAGCATCCGATCAGCGCTGGTGGCCAATGGTTTTGAGCGCTGATCAGTGTGTTCTGGCGGGGCGGGGGAAGGGGCAATCCCCCTGTCAGAACACAATAGCTCAGCGGGTGAGATAACTGCACTAACATCACTTAGTACAGCAACCTCTCAGGTTTTTTCTTCGTTCAGCCCGCTGGGTTGAACAAAAAAAAAAAAACAAAACTCCCTATGCGTTCCGAGCGTAAGGCCTGGCGCCTCCCTGCCTACCTCTTAATTCAGTTGTCCGTTAACGTAAACTTTAGTAGGCAATAGACGTTCTGACATTTTGACAGGAGAATAACAGAGCGTTTGGGGCAGAAGATAAAGCCCTGTGCACAACCTGGGCCCAGATTTAAGGGGCCTATTTTAAGACCAACAAAGGTACTTGTGGGCACCACCAGATACTGGTGGAAACAGGTCTAGGTTTTTTAGTAAACATGGAAAATAAAGCTGACATCTATCTATTGACTGTGAAGAAATAAACAAAAGAGAGTGGAATAACTATAATGTAGCCACAATTGTGTTGACTTTTTGTGCTACTTGTAGTATATCTTAATAATATACTATTTATTTATTTATTTAGTGGCCGAGCAGCAATCCTGTGCCTGGCTTATCTATCAGACATCTTAGTTTCAGGATCCTATGACAAGAGAGTGAGCATGTATGATCCAAGAGGTGAGCAGCATCATATACCAAGGGTATTGGACATCCTCCTTAACTTACTATAGGACTTACCAATGCAGATCACAGTATGTCATTTTATGCTATTGCCCGGCTTTACAGTTGTGTACTGGATTAAAAGAAAACCATGTTTTTTATAAAGGGGTTTTATTTATTTGGATTTAAGACTCTACATTTTTGTGTGTGTTTTTTATGTTATTTAGGAAGCCAGATACAGACATCCATTTCATATAATTCTACTTCATCAGAAAGTAATAGTAAGAATAACACCAGCAAAATCAGCACTTCATATAACTGCTCCTCCACTACTGCTTGTTTGCAGCGCAAGCCTCACTTCTCATACAGGTATACCTCTCTTTCCGAATCATGACAGTGGGGATGACGTCACTTCCTGTATGTCATGCTGATGTCTTCAGGGGACGTGACAGCTTATATATTTGATAAATCCTTTTTGTGATACACATATAAATCCCCCAAAGATAACTCCAACTATTAATATAATCAATATCACTTCCACTAAAATTGTATTTAAATGAATCCACACACAATTCCGTCTTAAAAAACAGAAACCCCAACAAAAATTTAAAATAAAATAAAATATAAAAAAATATATAAAATGTATATAATAAACCCAAAGTGTCCAAGTTCCAAAATTTTTTTTCAATCCAGTAAAGCAGAAATTGATTCTAAGTACTCCATGATAACCTCAAAAAAAAGAAAAAGAGAAAATTCATAGTGTATTACCCTTAAAAAATATATATATACTTCACTCTGTGTACAACACAAAAAACACACCATAATTTGTGCAAAATAAATTAGATATATATCAATCCAAATAAATCCGCAAATAAATAGATAAATGAATAAAAATAAAAAATAAAAACCCCAAATCGTGAAAAACGTGATCACTCCAACCACAAGTGAATAGTGATACTAGGTACTAGTACCCTCTAAACTCCAGCCAAAAGTGATACCAGGTACTATTACCCTCTTCCAGTATTTTCAAGCATGAGCTGACATAGGAAATCTGTATCTCTCAATCCTTCATTTCCAGGGTATTCCTCCCAACTCCTCATAGAAGCATAAAAGGCTCTTAGGCAGGATCCATAAAAAGGAACAAATTTTAATAGAAACTTACATATAAAACAGGGAAATCCAGCTTCCAGCATTGCTCTCTCAAAATTTTTAGGTTGAAAAACACATGTTTCCAACCAACAAAATGGCCACGGCGACACTTCAGGTTAGCGTGCGTGCGTGATGACGTCACTCCTCTAACGCGTTTCGTCACTTCCGGACTTCGTCTGAAGGGATCTTATATATTTTTTTCTTAGTCTGAGGCATGGATTGCTCCAAAATCTCTTGGTAGACGGCTGCGTTGACCCTGGACTTAATGAAGCACAGTGGACCAACACCAGCACATGACATGGCTCCCCAAATCAACACAGCCTGTGGAAACTTCACACTGGACTTCAAGCATCTTGCAGTGCGTGCCTTTCCATTCTTCCTCCATACTCTGGGTCCTTGGTTTCCAAATGAGATGCAAAAGTTGCTCTCATCAGAAAAGAGGACTTTGGACCACTGAGCAACAGACCAGGTCTGTTTTCTTTTAGCCCAGGTAAGACGCTTCAGACGTTGTTTGTTGTTCAGGAACAGCTTGACAAGAGAAATACGACATTTGAAGCCCATGTCCGGGATCCGTCTGTGTGTGGTGGCTCTTGATGCACTGACTCCAGCCTCAGTCCCACTCCTTGTGAAAGTCCCCAACACTTTTGAATGGCCTTTTCCTGACAATCCTCTCCAGGCTGCGGTCATCCCTGCTGCTTGTGACCTTTTTCTTCCACAATTTTCCCTTCCACATAACTTAACACATAATCTGCACCAGAATGGCAGGACGAAAGAAGTGTGGAGAAGGCTTGAAACAGCTCAAGATCTAAAGCACACAACGTCATCTGTAAAACAAGGTGAAGGCAGTGTGATTGCATGGACATATATGGGTGAGCCTTACGTGCTGACGTCACACTTCCGGAGTTCGGAGCGGTGGCCATCTTGGTATGCTTTTATGCATTTAACTCTTTGCTGTATCCACGTGGATTATTTTGAACTATTTACAATAAATACTACACTATATTGCCATACCTTCGACTCCTGTGGTGAGCTTCTCCCCCTAGGAGGATCCTTTGCTGCTTTTGCATAGCCCTGACCCTGGAGAAGTCCAGTCCCTATTTATGGCTTCCTGAGACCCCCCATAAGGATCATCATTAACGCTATCATACAAGTAGCATTCTGGTGAGCGCACATCCATATAAGGTGATGGATTCCCATGTTGGATCATGAGCACTCTCGAGCATCCCAGCTGATATTGCTGCACCTTGTAGTTCCGCGATCACCAGGTATTGCTGTGACCTGTAGTACCACGGACTATGTATAAATCACTAATATTGCTAAAGAGCACACGCGTATCACTTGGCACTTCTGTAGATGTAGTAGCAACGGACTATTTATATTCACTATTTATGTTCAGATTTTTATAATTCTATGATTTTATATGATCTGAAACTTTTTTTATTGTATGAACACTTCTATTCACATAAGCAGTCTGTGCTTGCATTTGTCACTTATGCTTTAGCGCTGCACTTACATTTGAATTGATTACTGTGGGTTTGTTACCTTGCCTTTTGTGGTAGCAGCTACCATATTATCTGCGCTCTCCTTATATCTTGTGTTATATCTCTGGTGTTTATTAATAATGTGACCGAAGCAGCTGGATGAATTCTGCAGTGTTTAGAGATATACTGTCACCTAGATTCAGCCAAATGCAGCAAAGTTGATTTGGATGGCGCTTCACAGTACAGATGGACAATGATCCAAAACACATTGCAAAAGCAACCCTGGAGCTTTTGAAGGAAAAGAAGAGGATTATTCTGCAACGGCCGAGTCAATCGCCTAATCTCAACCCAATTGAGCATGCATTCACTTGCTGAAGGCAAAACTAAATGCAGAAAGATCCACAAACAACATCTGAAGACAGCTGCAGTTAGAGCCTGGCAAAGCATCAGGAAGGAGGAAACCCAGTCTTTGGTAATGTCCATGGGTTCCATACTTCAGGCAAAGCATCAGGAAGGAGGAAACCCAGTCTTTGGTAATGTCCATGGGTTCCATACTTCAGGCAAAGCATCAGAAAGGAGGAAACCCAGTCTTTGGTAATGTCCATGGGTTCCAGACTCAAGGCAGTCATTGCCAGTAAAGGATTTTCAACAAAATATTACAAATGAACATTTTTATTTATGATTATAGTCATTTTGTCCAATTACATTTGATCCCCTGAAAATGGAGGGACTGTGTATAAAAATGGTTCCTGAAATTTTTACTTGATATTTGTGTTCAACCCCTTGAATTAAAGCTGAAAGTCTGCACTTCAAATTCATTTGGATTATTTCGTTTTAATTTACTCTGGTGGCATACAGAGCCAAAAGTATGAAAATTGTGCCTGTGTCCAAATATATATGGACCTAACTGTACATGTGTTCGTGAAGGAAAGTGTTCTTTAGGACCACTTTGGTCCAAACAAACTAGTTAAAGTTCACTAAAACCTGGAGTTGGCTTTAAGGAAAGAGGAACTTGAGTCTTTTGAGCAAAACATACAAATGCCTTAAAGCAAACCTTGTTGCTTTGCTCATTAAGCACAAAATATCAACCTGATCTTACAAGGGGCTTAGGACTCTCCTTGCCCCTGTGACACCGGAGCACTAATCCAAATGTGCTATTGCTGCCAAATGCTCCTTCATGCCTGGAAATACTGGGTATGGGAGTAAAGGAAACGTGAGTATGTGCTGCTGGTAAAGGGTGGAGAATTGGGGGGGGGGGGGGACACACTAAAGAGAACTTGTTGTTTTGCACTTGAGGATGGACACATCCAGTGCTTTGGTAACTGTTGCATACCCGAAAAACTACAGTCTTGTTGCATAGAGTACATACAGTAATTCAGATCTTTGAAACATGCAACACTTTAAGGGCTCGTTCACACTTGGCTGTTTTACCAACGCTTGCCAAACGCCCCTATAGCGTTTGGCAAGCGTCGGTCCGGCGTTTGCAGAGCGTTTTTTAACGCTCCGCAAACGCCACATGCGCGGTTTAGTGGCGGTTGCTAGGCGTTTGCCGAGCGTTAATAACGCCCCCACAAACGCCTATAATACAGTTTGAGTGGTGTTACCGCTCCGCAAACGCCCCGCAACCGCGTCGCAAACCGCACCGCAAACGCCGGCCCGGGCGTTTGCGGAGCGGCACCATAGACGAGAATAGGAGGCTTCAAAGCCTCCTGACTCGACCAGAGGCGTCCGTTTTGCCGCGACGCAAACGCTCCCGTTAGAACAGCACCATGTGCTGTAATGTGCAGAATTGGCAGAGGCGTTTGGGAAGCGGTAAAAACGCTTCCCAAACGCCTCTCTGCCGCCTGCACACAAGGCTAGTGTGAACGTAGCCTTACACACCTTTGTGCAGTGTGCTGGTATGAGCCGACTCTACTGAAAACGATGGATTTTTCAGCAATTATATAATTTACTTGTGTTGCTTGATGTGGTTATCAGCCTTATTGCAAAATAATCGCAGTTTAACCCCTCCCCTATGATTGGAAACAATCATAGCATACAGTATGAATTTGCTTCTT